ATAGGAAGAAAAAAACCACTTCCCAATAAAAAAAGGACACCATGCTGCCCACCTTCTAAAATTATTTAATTTAATTAAAAATGAACCTCCCAATACGTGGGCTACTAATTGCAAAATTTAATTTTCAAAAACTTTTTTTTGTCAAAAAAATAAAAGAAGGCTATATGCTGCCAATTAGTAAAATGGGATGTCATGTTGTGCCATTTTTTCTATATATTTTAGTAGTGTTTTATTTGTAAATGTTTTGTCAATAAATATTTTAAAAATATAAAATCAAGTCTAACTCCTTTGCAGATCTTTTACATTTTAGGGCCATTAGACCACTAAAATCAAGTCTACTTTTGTTTTTATATTTTTCATTTCCCCTTTGTTGTCTTATTTATGAAAAAAGTGATCATGTAATATTTTTAACTTGGATTAATCTTACGATGTTGTATCTTGGCTATTATGTTGGCTATCATGTATTTTTGTAAGTATTAACTGAAGTGTGTAATTCATAATTGAATTTTTGTATGTATTAATGTCGTGTTCATTAGACATCAACATTAGATACTCTTAGATACTCTTTTCTAAGACACCAATGTTTTTCATTTTTTGGTTGAAGGACTGACCCGTTCCAACCCGTGGCCCGCTTAGGGCTGGGTTGGGTTACTATTTTATAGGCCCTTTAATTAATGGGAAAGTTACATAAATATACTATAAATAAAAAATATTTATCATTTATAGCAATAGCTTTTTTTTCACTTGATCACTTTTAATACATTTATAATACAGTTTTAATACATATTACAAAGAACAATGTATTATTCACATATAATACAAGTTTTATTGATGGGTAATACATTTATCACACATTTTAATACGCTTATAATACAATGTTTCAACTTCTTACCAAACAAGCATAATATGTTTTTAAAAACAGTTATAATACATATATATTGCATACTTAATTCACTTTTAATAGATATTACAGATTTAACATAGTATTGTTATGTATTGCTATAAATGGTAATAAATAAAAAATATCGCTAAAATCAGTAATTATTTATTAAAAGGCACTCATCCAAGTAATTTTTCCTTAATTAAAAGGGTCAACCTGTCCTCTCTCTAGCCCGTTAGAATTGAGTTGGGTTGGACCAGCCCATTTTGACAACTCTAACCATTATTCACGGCCAGAAATTGGCCATAAACTTGTTTATGGATTTCGATCGTTATAAAAATAGTAAAGTTATCTTGTCACAAATTTTGATCTCTATAAAGTTTGTCATATAATGACCTTATCACAAATTCTAACCGTCGCTAGAAATTAGTCATCAGAATTTAATGATTTTAGTGAATGTATAAAGTTCAACATGTTTTTGTTTCAAAATTAGTCCAAACTAGTCAAAATAAACTCTAAGTGATTCAAAATTTAATATCCAACCATTTAATATTTATTCTAAAAAATCTGACAGTTAAATTCAGCCAAAATCTTAAAAATAAATAGTCACTTTATTTTCTTCAATAATCAAGCTCAATAAAATATAGCAATGGTATTTTTCAAGTAACTTTAACCGTCATACTCAATTTCATATCATGAGCATGAGTTACTAATTCTTCAAATTTTTTAGGTTTTATGTTTTGCAACATATGATGAAGATCACAATGCATATCTTGGATGCACATTTCGATCCCAAAAATTTCACTAAGATAATTTTTGCAGTTAAGTCTCAAACTCCTAATGATTGATGAAATTAATGACTTGCTCATTATTACTTTGGTGGGCGTTAGTAAGCTCTATCATGCTTACAACACGCCTTGTAAGCATTTATTAAAAAAAATAACCACAAATGACTAATAGGTCTTCAATTATCTAAAGCATGTAGGAAGAAGATAGATAAGAAGGAGAAAAAGAAGAACAAGATTCTGGCTTGTTTCGCTGAACTTCTAAATCTGTTTATTTTTATTTTTTTAAAAGTACTTTATTGGTGAAAAACAATTTGTATTTGATCAATAAATTTTATAAACACTTTTGAGCAGCAATTAGATTTGACCTATCTTTTTCAAAATGCTTCTAAGTGCAATTTTCTCAAAATTACTTTTCATAAAAGTTTTTTTTTTTTAGCTTCTGAAAAATAATTCCAATTAGTTTTATTACCTATATCATTTTCTAATATATGTATAGTTGCTACTTCGGCCTAAATTATTGGACCCTGCTTGCCTGGATTCCAATATCTAGAATTTAATTATTAATTAAAAAAAATTGTGCATGAAAATTAAAGACAATTAGTGTCTCAACATTATCTAATACTACCATTAAAAAAGGGTCCATGGTTCCCAAATTATGTCTCGGTGGGATAGATGACAAATCCATTTACACAAATAATTTGAAGTTTTGTCCATGAAATCATTAAAGATAATATTCTTTATTTTTTTGTTTAACAAAGATAATATTTAAGTAGTTAATTGAAATTATAGAATGTAATTTATCTAATTTTGACCTCATGTATTTCGAGATACATGTATCTGAACGCATCAAAATTTGGTAAGACTTGTAATATTACAAACTAAAATATATCTAAATAATTAATTCCTAAACTAATGAAATTTCCGTAAGTTCCCCAATTTCACATTCTAACAGATATTATCTCAACAATATTAGAAGCTAACATCATATAAATTGTACTACCTGAATGGCATATGGACAATACATTTTTCTACAAATTTACCTTAATTTTTTAGCCATGTGTTAGTTAGCTATATTTCTATAGGATAGGTGTATAGTCTCTGTTGCATGATCAACATAAAAAATGAAATGTAATATTTAATATTTTGCGTGTGGACAAAATGTAAACAACCAAGGTTAGTTATATAAGATTTACAATTATTCCTTAATTTTTTTAATATAATGGTGGTGTTTTGAGTCTAATTTCGCATAAGATACGCGATAACTTTCATCAGTACAATCCACTTTTATGAGGGTTTGACCAAAGTAAGTCATTATTAAAATTAATTCATTAAAATAATTTATTTTTTTGAAATTTTACAAAATTAGTATAAACGTAGTTCTCAGTAACATTTTACGTTATATTTTATTCAAAAAAATTCAATAACAAAAAATCTGACAGAGTAAACAGACATAAAACGTTATTGTCAGTAACGTTTTATAATTTGTTACTCTGAGGCACATTTTACAGCTAAAACGTGACTCACAATAGCGTTTTTCTGGAATGACTGAAAATTAAAATTCAATCTTGTACCTGCCTCATTCAACTTTATTAAACTTTCCACTATTAAAATGAATATATATTTTACACATATATTTACTTATATATAATTTTCTCTTTTCATACATAGATAATACTTTTGCAAGGAAAAGAAGATGTGGGGAGAGCTTTACTACAATATCAATTAATTCCTTTGTCTCCTCTATTATGATGTAGTCATTATGTTTTTTTAAATAGTTGTTTTGCTTATTTATTACATCAATTTTTAAATTCAATAGCTTCTTTATTGATAGTCTAATATTTAATAATCATAAGAAACCAATTGGTCTAATATTTGGAAGGGATGCTATCTTAGGCTAGAAGAAGATCTCTAGTATGATTTATTTACAAATTTTGAAATTGAAATGATACAAGACAAGCTCCAATTTGTGCAAAGTCTTCCTCACTCTTTTTTCCTTTAGTTTAAAAAAGTATTGTCTATGTATGAAAAGAGAAAATCATATATATTTCAAATGAAGGTATGTACAAAATATATCTATCCATTTAATAGTGGAAGTTTGAATAATGAATGAGGCATGTACAAGATTGAATTTCAATTTTCACCATTCCAGAGAAACGTTACCGTGAGTCACGTTTTAACTCTAAAACGTGCTTTAGAGTAACGAATTATAAAACGTTACTGACAATAACGGTTTATATCTGTTTACTCTGTCAGATTTTTATCTTTTTTGTTATTGAATTTTTTTGAATAAAATATAACCTAAAACGTTACTGAGAACTACGTTTATACTAGTTTTGTAAATTTTCAAAAAAACATATTATTTTGATGAATTAATTTTAATAATGACTTACTTTGGTCAAAAATTTTAAACATATATAAAAAAATATCTAAAAAAATTTTCGTCTTTATTGAATGATCTTGAAACTAAGCGCACCGTATTTCGAAACTTGATAACTTGCTCATAATTTTACTATATCAAGTTAGCAGATCATGACATATGTCTCCAATAATTTTCACCGACTTTATTAAACGATAAAATAAACCATGCTATGCATTGCTATTAAGTGCACAAGAAATGTCTTATGAATATGTATATATAGTACTCTAAATCTATATTTTACGTGTTATATTAAAGTTTCTCATCATCTTACACAGAGGCCTATCTAGGGGTCACCGGGTTCACGTGAACACATGGTCCCTCCCGAGATCATATATAGTTGTGTTATATTTTAGAAAAAATATTGAAATATAGATGTGTGAATCCACACTTGAAGTATCACATAATGTGATTATGACTGGGTGCACCTCTCTCCGCGAGGTTAGAAATTTGAATTTTATATTTATCTTGTTTTAATTTTCTCTCTAAATGTCGAACCGATCAAATTTATATCATAGATCAACCTTTTTATAACAGTGTACCATCATCTCAAAATCCTGGATACGCCTCTGATCTTACATGACAAATAATACATCCTAATAACAATACAATTTCTTACGTAACAATCTAAAATAAAATATTAAGAATTATCTGAACCACAACAATATCGAAGAAAAATTAAGATGATAGAGACAATCAAATAATTCAGTTTTGATTAAACAATCGACATATTGATATGATATGATATTTAAAAAAAAAAAAAAATAACTGATCAAATCGAAATATTAAGATACAATGATATGAATCAATGATTGATTTATTTAATATACTAATTTGGATATGGTGCCACTATAAGAGTAACTAATGTTACTTGAAAGAAATATCCACCAAAACCTTAGTGTAATTTTCAATTGAGATGTATTATTCTCTTTTTAACTTAGTTTCTTTGCTTCTCTTCTTGTCCTCCCTTGTTATTCTAGTTAGAAAATGGAGTAAAAACAAAAAACAAAGGTTACCTCCAGGTCCATGGAGACTTCCTTTTATTGGAAGTTTACATCATTTGATCATTGGAGGACAACTTCCACATCGCGTTTTTAGAAATTTAGCGCGAAGGTATGGACCTATTATGTACTTACAACTCGGGGAAATTCCTGTTGTAATCATATCATCACCTACTATTGCACAAGAGATTTTGAGAACTCATGATCTCGCATTTGCTGATAGGCCACAATTTGTATCCACAAATATCATATTGTACAATAATAAAGATATTATATTTAGCCAGTATGGTGACTACTGGAGACAAATGCGTAAGATTTGTATGGTAGAACTTCTTAGTGTGAAGATGGTCAAGTCCTTTAGTGGAATTCGACAAGATGAGCTTTCAAGTCTCATTTCATCTATTCGTTCCACAAGCGGCGGAGCTACAGTATTGATTAATATGTCAGAAAAAGTTGTTCGGTTTACAAACTCTGTTACTTGTAGATCAGCTTTTGGAAAAATATGCAAAGGTAAAAATGAGTTTATAACACTTATGAAGGAAGTACTATTCTTTGCTGGAGGATTTGATGTGGCTGATTTGTTCCCTTCTTGGAAGTTACTTCATAACATAAGTGGTGTGAAATCTAGATTGATGAAGGCACATCAAAAAGTTGATTCAATTATGGAAAATATTATTAATGAACATATTGAAAATAAATCAATTGGGAAAAAGAAAAATGGTGAGTTTGGAGATGAGGATTTGGTTGATGTTTTACTAAGAACTAAGGAGAACTCTCGACTTCAATTTCCAATTACAAATGACCATATTAAAGCTGTAATTTCTGTAAGTTTGCTCCTATCATTATCTTTTCTCACCTTGCTTTTATATTTTCAAAGTTGGATGTTTATAAGGGACTTACATAAATCTCATTAGCTTAGGAGTTAATTACATAGATAAACTTCATTTTTCAATATTACGTATCTTACCAGATTTTGGTGCCTCCAGATATATGTCTAGATATATCTATATCTTGAATACATGGGGTCAAATTTAGGTGTAATTTGTTCTCAATATATTGTATCCAAGTGGATTCGCATGTGTCTGAGATACATAACAAATCTCGCTCATTTCTCTCCCATCTCGCTCACCACTCTTCCATGTATTTGGTATCCCAGATACTTGCGGATCACTCCAGATATATATATATATACGAATCTCGCTCGCCTCTCTCCCTATTTTTGTATATCTGGTAGCAAAATTACATGTATCTAAGTGTAAGATATATAGGAAACTCTTAATTGTTAGTAAGATACGTAATATTTTGAAAGTATATGTAAAAATAAAATATATGATAGTGAAGTATGTCTAATAATGTATTTTTTCCATGTTAATATAGTTCTAGACTCCTTTTAAGGTTTCTCCTTGAACAATCGAATTCATCGATTTGATTTATTTGTTTGTTGATATAGGATATATTTATTGGTGGAACTGAAACTTCATCTTCAACTATTATTTGGGCATTATCAGAAATGATGAGGAACCCAAGTGTCATGGCCAAAGCCCAAAGTGAAGTGAGACAAGTCTTTAAAGGAAAGAAAAAGTATGATGAAAATGACATAGAAAAGTTGACATATCTAAAGTTAGTGATTAAGGAAACATTAAGGCTCCATACTCCAGGTCCTCTTATGGGACCTAGAGAATGTAGGGAGAACACAAATATAGATGGATACATCATTCCTCAAAAGACTAGAGTACTTGTCAATGTATGGGCACTTGCGAGAGATCCGAAATATTGGCAAAATCCTACAAGTTTTATACCAGAGAGATTTGAAAATTCTTCGATTGACTTTATGGGGAATGACTTTGAGTTTATTCCGTTTGGTTCAGGAAGAAGGATGTGTCCAGGAATACAATTTGCTTTAGCTAGTGTTGGATTTTCTTTGGCTCAGTTACTCTACCACTTTGAATGGGAACTACCAAATGGAGTTAATTCAAAAGATTTGGACATGACTGAAACACATGGATTAACTGCATCAAAAAAGAAAGATTTATATTTAATTGCCACAAATTATCGTATCAATGAAGAATATTGATGTTATGCGTGAAATAGCGAAATTTAGTTTAAACATCGTGACGCATGACTTACTTAGTGATGATTCAACAAACTTGTAAACCTTATCTTTGAGTTGTTATTCTTATTTTAGATTGTCATTATTATCTTTTGAGTTGTAATGAGTTATGTAGGTATTAAATCTTGTATAATCAATATCATGTTTGATAGTTGATAATAAGGAGATAAGTTATTTATGTATAAATTAATACGATGTTTGATTTACAATTTAGAGATTAATATAACTAATACATGTATAATTTATGAGAGAATCTATATATTATTTTATGTAGGACAAAAGGTGGAATAAGGTAGTCTAATATGCTTTGTTCTAACAATGTGTGATTTTCTCTATAACTTCTAAAATATTCCTAACATATTAAAGTTTTCTACCATTTTTGTCTGAATTAGATTCGTTTGATTACATATCATGCACCTGGTGAGAGCTTGAGGTGTCACATATAATATAAGATCAGGACAATTGAGGTTAGTTTGTATATGTCTAGGCTATGTTTTACTGAGTTATATATTAAACAATTTAAGGTAAATAAATATCATAAAGTTTGTGTAACTGGTGTGAATTGGATCAATTAGTTTCATGTTCGAGGTAGATGCCAGGTTGATTACATGAATGTCTCTTGTGTCAAATTTGAAACAAGTTTAATAAGTCAATACCTTATTTTAAAGATCTAAGCTCAAGTGGTGATATCAATCTCTTTATGGATTCAACCCACTGGGAATAGATCTAAGAAAAAAGGTATAACTTACACTTGTTGACAGAAGAATCCTTCATTTGAGTTTTCGTTCAGCTAGAGACCTGCAAAGGGAGGAAGATCAGCATCAACCTTGTCAAAAAGAATGAATCGACTTAGAGGTACACATCAAATCGAGCTTGCAAAGATCCATTCTCGCCCGCTAATGCTGAGTTAGGGGTTTCAATTGTGGGAGAAGCTTCACACCCAGCTGGGAGCTCAAACTAGATTTGGAGCTCCATTAGCTCATTGAAGAAAGAGGGGTCAAGGAGAAGATGATACCAAAAGCTAAAACGACCTTCATCCTTATCATTTTCCTTATTTCCTTTTCGATCTTTGTTTGCCTTTTGGTTTCTTTTGTTTGTTTTAGCTTTTTTCTGATTTTTATGGGCCTAGCACTTCGGGCGAAGTACATTGTATATAACCTCATTTACTTAATAAATTAGGCTGATTTGGTCTTTTAACAAAAAAAAAAAAAAGGAATAAATTATACATGACTAACTAAATTGTGCATTCATAATCACCACATAAGATTGATAATACGTAAATTTCCTCATAATTAATATATGTATTACTAATACTTGCATAACTATAGTTAGTTACTTTAGACTTGATTTTTTTTATAAAAAAAAAAGTTCTAAATGGCACTTCTTTTTAATTGTCTGATGGAAATAACACCATCAATTCACAACCTAGTATAAAAATGAGGTACATAGACATTGATATTTTGTAGAACTTTATAAGATGAGCCCAATTTCTGAAATAGTTTTTGAAGGCTAGTACTCTAGTCTTAAATTCTAGTTCACACCTATATAAAAGGTAATATATTTTCTTTTGAAAAAGAATCTCAAAATCACATAAAACTCATTGGATATTCATAAAGAGATTAAGACATTAAATACAACCTTTGTCAAAGTTACCATCCAGCGGTTTTTAGTTATCAAATACATCACAAGGAGGTCAGAAACATGCTACTAACGCCTTAGAGAGGGACAAAATTGCACTCTTACATTTTATTTGTTATTACAATTTATTTCTCATCACTTTAAAATTTGTTGAAAACAAACTAATTGAACTTGTGATAAGTAAAGTTGGCTAATGAAAATACATTCCGTAAAACCCAAAGCAATCAGAGAGAGAAATCTAAGGGGAGAAAAAAAAACATATACAAGGATATATTACAAACAAAAAAGTACAAGACAAGATAAAAATGAAAGCAAATTAATCAAACAACTTTATAATAAGTTGAATGTGATAGACTCATCAAATCCTTTCTTTGATCATCAAAGAGATTCTATCGTATTAAGATTTCTGATCAAATGATCTTTACAAACAAAACAACTCTACTAATGCATTTAATTTACATTAGTAAATGCATATAAAGTAAAGTACTAGGGAGGCAAAAATATTAGGAAGTTTATTTATGGATAGAGTTTGTTGTAATAAAAATTCAAGGAGTAGAAATCCTAAATTGTTTAGGTTTTGTTATTTTTTATATTTATTTCATTAATGTCTAATTAGAATTTGTTTGTCCTAGTTCATATAGGAATATGTTATCTAGTTCTAGTTTAATTTGGTTTCCTAATTTTATAAATAAAGACGTTGCTGGTTATTTTCAACATATGAAATTATAAGAAAAAGAAAGTTTCATCTAGAAATAGAGAAAAGTTGAATTAAGCGTCAATATTTTCCATCAAATTAGTATTAGTTCCTGTGAAACGGAATGATTGGAAATATAATCAAGAGTTTTATGTGTAAAAGGAATTTGGCACCGATTCTCCATGATAAGGAACGTAATGGCTTTAGATCTTATATCAATGAAGCTGATTTGCCTCCATCAAAGCGGAAGAGGTTGGAAAATCTCCCTGTTTGCAGCAAGAAGAATAAAACAGAGATAAGTAACGAGATCACTTCATCTGCAAGAAACGATTTAACTGATCGAAAGAGGCTGGGTATTTCAATGACGGACTATTTCTCTATTGAGCAATTGAAGGATCATATACATAATCTCAGTCATTATAATCAGGGATCAACTGGAAATACGATAGTACGTTCTGTCTCTGAGAATGTAAATGTCTGTCAATTATGTGGCATCGATAAGCTTGTTTTTGTCCCAACACCTATATATTGTTCATCATGTTGTAAGTGTATCAAACGCAACTTGATTTATTATTGGGCTGTGGATGAAGCTGATGGACGGCACTGCTTTTGTACGAAATGTTTCAGGAAGTGTTGTGTCGATGATAATGTCTCATCCCAAGGACTATCAATTAGCAAAAATAAGTTTCAAAAGGCTAAAAATAATGATCGAAATGAAGAACCGTGGGTACAATGTGATAAGTGTGAATGCTGGCAACATCAAATATGTGCTCTTTATAATGCTAAAAAAGATTTAGAAGGACAAGCAGAGTATATATGTCCGTTTTGTCGTTTAAAGGAAATCGAAGCAGGAGAGCATGTGTCTTTACCAGTTTCTATCGGAGCTCAAGATCTTCCAAGAACTATGCTTAGTGATCACATTGAGCAGAGACTGTTCAGGCGCCTCGAGCTAGAAAGAAACGAGAGAGCAAAATTGTCAGGACATGATGCTAACGAGGTACCTGGTGCAGCAGATCTAATTGTCAGAGTGGTATTGTCTGTTAACAGAAATTTGAGAGTAAATCAACAATTTTTGGATATTTTTCACAATGAAGATTATCCTCCAGAGTTTCAGTACAAATCAAAGGTGATTCTATTATTCCAGAAAATTGGAGGAGTAGATGTTTGCCTCTTCGGAATTTATGTCCAAGAATTTGGATCAGAATGTGCCCCTCCAAATAGACGTTGCGTCTATTTATCATATCTCGATTCTATCAACTACTTTAAACCTGATATACAAACTGTAAAAGGGGAAGCTCTACGAACTTTTGTTTACCATGAAATACTGATTGGATACATGGATTACTGCAAGAAACGAGGTTTTACAACCTGCTATTTATGGGCTTGCCCCTCTATAAAAGGCGAAGACTACATCTTGTATTGTCATCCTAAATCTCAGAAAACACCGAAACCAGAGAAGCTCCGGTTGTGGTATAAGTCAATGTTAAGGAAAGCATCTGAAGAGGATATCGTGGTGAACTATACTAATTTATATGATCACTTTTTTGCGCCGAGTATAAGGAATAGTGCTGCTCATTTGCCATATTTCGACGGAGACTATTGGTCAGGCGCTGCAGAAGAAATAATTAGGAACATTGAGACAGAGAATAGAGGTGATAAAGTTAAAAAGCTAATGACAAAGAGTACGTTAAAAGCAATTGGACATGACAATGTTTATGCAGATGCAACTAAAGATATTCTAGTGATGCAAAAGTTAGGGCAAACAATCTTACCTGTGAAAGAAGAATTCATCATTGTAAATTTACATGTTGTGTGCACAAACTGCCAACAAGCAATACCATCAGAAGGTCGATGGTCTTGTAAGCAATGCAAAAACTTTCATATTTGTGCGAAGTGTCTCACGTTGCAGAAAACACACACTTCTAGTAATGGAGAAGAGCATTTACGTTCTGAGGTTGTGATGGACGAGGACGATATACCTGCTAGCACTGAGGACCAGGATGCCATTATTGAAAATGATATTTTCGAGAATAGGCATTCTTTTTTAAGCTTCTGTGAGAAAAATCACTATCAATTTGATTCACTTCGTCGCGCCAAGCATTCCTCAATGATGATATTGGATCATCTCTACAATAACATTCGCCTGTCCAGAACTGACTCTGGCTTCGAAAAGGAGCAATTCGAGGGTCAGGGACCATTGAAGGTCAAATTAATGGGTGTTCTGGTGCATGCATCACAATGCCGTGCAACCCTAAGTAATCCCTGCTCGTTCTCAGGATGCATCAAAATTAGGGAACTTTTTCAACATGTAAGCCGGTGCAGTGTTAGAGTTACAGGGGGATGCGCACTTTGTCGCAAAATTTGGTCCTTACTGCATTGGCATTCACAGACATGTCAAGATACCAGTTGCCTAGTTCTCCGTTGCAAGGACATTAAAAAGCATGGCGTGGCTACACTTAGGTCAGGGTTTCCAATTGGACACCCTTAGTCGGAAAATTATACTGTATATACAAGTAAAATGATAAATAAAGTCGCCGATTTGTATCAGTAGTAGAAGAAGAAAATGCTTGCAATTGAGACGTGTAATCGTTAGAGCTGCTTCGTCGTCGTCTAGTACTGGTCTGAGACGTTCGATGAATTCTCGAAGAGTTTATAAGGAATCACAAGCTCAAACATTATTTGTTGTGCCTATTTTCATCTCTGAAAGTGTGCAATGTTTGCTTTCCATTATGTATCTGTAATGGTTTTTATTTTCTGTTTTCCTAATATGTAACTAATTTATGTATTACTATAGTATTTTTTCGTATCTAATTTAAGTATTACTAATTTCTTCATAACTAATTTATGTATTACTAATACTTACATAACTATAATCAGCTACCAAACGACCATACATGTTTAGATTACACTTCTTTTTGATTGTCTGATGGTAACACCATCAATTCACTGCCTAGTACGAAAAACGAGGTAGGTAGACATTAATTTTTTTTGAAACTTTATAAGACGAGCTTAGTTTTTGTTATAGTTTTTGTAGGCGAGTACTCTATCCTAAATTTTAGTTCACACCTATATAAAAGGTAATATATATTCTTTTGAAAAGATATTTCAAAATCCCATAAACTCATTGAATATACATAAAAAGATTATGTCATCAAATATAATTTTTGTCAAAGTCACCGTTTGACGTTTCTAGTGATCAATACATCGCAAAGAAGTTGAGAAACATGCTACTAACAACTTATAGAGGAACACAATTATACTCACAAATATTCATCGATAAAAACTCTATTTAATCATAGTTTAATTATTATTACAATTTATTTTTCATTACTTTAAATTTTGTTGCAAACAAGATAATTAAACTAATCACAAGTAAAAAAAAAAAATCTAATCACGAGTAAAGTTATAAATAAAATAAAGTTGGCTCATGAAAACACACTCCTTAAAACCAAAGCAATCATAGAGAGAAATCTGAGGGGAGAAAAAAACACATATACAAGGATATATTATATTACACACCTTAAGTATTACAACACAAAAGATTAAAATGAGAGGAAATTAATCAAACCACTTTATAATATGTTGAATTTGATAGACTCATCAAATCCTTTATTTGATTATAACAAAGAAAGAAATGATGAATGCAACAAGTGCTAACATAAGTGCTGGAGATGAATTGGTGGAGCCAATATTAGAGTCATCATAGGAGCCTCCATATTGTGCTGTTGCAATAGCAACCAACATGCCCAAAAATAAAACAATTGTAGCTGAAACCCTAAAACCCATGCTTAATTTAACTCACACAAATGGTGATGATGATTTCCTTTTGAAACTCTATTGAGATTCCAACAAAGCTCCTTGCTTGCTTATATAGAGAAGTCATATTGAGAAGTTAATATAATAATCCATTACTAGCTAGCTTTCCCTTAGTAGGTGACATTATATAATAAATTGGTCTATTTTTAAAATTTATTTTTTGCCAAAATTCATTCACCCAATCTTTCCCTGATGGGAAGAGGTGAAGTCAGGATTAGGAGTGGGACATAAAGCCTAATCTGCTTTTACGACGAGAGAAATACTATCCTATTAATTAGATTCTTGATCAAATAGTCTTACAAACACAACAACTATATTAATACATTTAAACTACATCAGTAGATGCATATAAAGAAAAGTATTCAAGGAGGCAAAAATGTAGACAATATATTTTCTATATGTTAAAGTTTTGATGGATAAAGTCACCCGATATTCGTACTGATAGGAGGTAATAATTTTTTGTAAAATTAATTGAGATGTGCATAAACTATTTCGAACAGTCTAACACCGTAGTTATAAAAAATGAAAAAAAGTTAGGTTGAACCATTATTTTCGACTAGATGTTAATTTTATACATTGTAACAACCTTGATAATGATAGTACTTGAACTAGTTTTGATTGCTTATTCTCTGTGTTTCTAAAACCTAACGTGGTTTGGTCGTGGTATATAATATGCCTTCACAACTAATATGCCTAAGAACGTGGATATAAATAAGTCAATACAAAAAAGTATAAATATGTATTATTTGAGAGAAGTAGGTGATTTTTGTTCAATTAAAGGTCTTAAATATCAAAGGATTGTAATTTTCAACCTATTATTATTATTATTATTATTATTTTATTCGGTGTTTAGTATTTATATTAAAGCTAAACTAAATTCGAATTTACTCGCGCCGAAAGGGTAAAGCTTCCCTAACAAAGATGACTCTAAACCCACGAGAACTTAAACTCGAGACCTCTGATTAATAATAAAGGAGAACTTACAGTATACCACAACTTTTATCGGTGCAACCTACTAATATTAGTTACGTAATAACCAGGATTATTGTTGCAACTTATAATTAATAGGAAGAATTAACATGAATAGCTGTCCACTCAACCACATTAATTAAAAGTAGCCTCAGATGTATAATTATAGATGGTATATAATATCTATCATGTATATTAGTTAGAAAAAGTAAATAGTAAACTCAATCAGCTATTTTTGTAATCCCAACTAATATTAGTTAGAAATTCTTGCTACATACAAATTTGATTCCTCTCCATTTCCTCGTGTATTTGGAGATTTGGGCATGCATTTGTTACCCAATGAGTAATCCTGTATGATAGAGTTTGGTCAACCATGATTTGTATGTACCTATTAATTTAATGGAAAAACTAAAAATGGTAGATGAAGATTGTTTGAGTGAATAAACAAAAATATATAAACGAAAATAAAATAAAAAAAACAATTAAAAACCACCAATGTAAGATACCTGAAATTGGGGAAGGATGATTAGGATTTAGGAAGGAGAAATGATATCTTTGAAATTTCAAAAACTGATGTTTGAGTGAATTTAGGAGAAAAATCAAGTAGGTGCAAGATGAAAGAGAATAACTAATGGTAAAATTATACAAGGAGGCAAACATGTAATATGTATTTACGATAAATCACTATAGTTTAAAATATTACAATTTGTAACATATAGGGTTTTATAGCAAATTTCTCTATCATCTCTCCCTCTCTTCCTTGTCTCTCTCCTCCCGCTGTCCCCCCCCCCCCCCCCCCTCTCTCCCTCTCATCTGCCTAGTTGCAGCCCAAAAAATATTGCACATAAATATGACAATTGTATTTTGTATTATGTATCAAATGTAATTGTATTCCATAAATTGTATTTTATATTATGTATCGATTGTTTACGTATTTTGTATCAATTGTATTATGACAGTTTGTATTCTGTCAAAGTGCCAAAATTGTGTTCGTTAATACAATTGATCCAATTATATTTGATATATGATACAAATCAATTGTATTAATTATATTCAGACAATTATATTTGTATCAACTGTATTTGTGTTCTGTATCAATTGTATTCGTGATACAACAAATACAACATGTATTCATCCTCTCTCCCCCTCTCCCGACCTCGCTTGCCTCTCTCCTCTTAAAATGAATACAATTGTATTCGTTTTGATACAAATCAGTTCTATCAATTGTATCCATGATACAACTTGAGAACAACAAATACGACAAGTATTCAACCTCTCTCTTCTATCTCCTTGATTTCGCTCGCCTCTCTCCTTCCCCTAGCGTATAACTATTGTTCGTAATTAAGCAAATTATAGTTAGGAAAAATTACAGAAATCCCGCCTTTTAATTTACTTATTACCATTATCCCCTATAAGTTTTACAAATCTCCAAAATCCCTCATTTTCGCGCATCAGATTAGTGTATCTCGCACATCAGATTAGTGTATCATGTATAAAATGTAATGTATCTTACTTAACGATTAATGTATCTCGCGCATCATATTAATGTATCAGCGCTTATATTATTGTATCCGTTTGAGAGATTTCTGTAATTATAAATTTTTAAGGGATAGATTGTAATTTTGCCTCAAAAGTATATGATTTCTGTAATTTGCCCATAAATTACAATCTATCCCTTAAAAGTTTATAATTACATAAATCCCTCAAACGGATACAATAATATAAGCACTGATACATGCGCGAGATACAATAATATAAGTGTTGATACATTAATCTGATGCGCGAGATACAATAATATAAGCGCTGATACATTAATCTGATGCGCGGAATATATTAATATAAGCGCTGATACACTAATCTGATGCGCGAAAATGAGGGATTTTGGAGATTTGTAAAACTTATAGGGGATAATGGTAATAAGTAAACTAAAATGTGGGATTTTTGTAATTTTTCCTAGAGTTATGGGCACATCTCTAATTAAGCCCAAACTATAGTCATTTTTTAATGTTTCCAACCCAGATCTACCCAATTTGGTCCATCCCATAAAGTCCAATATATTTTTGGGCTAGACTTATAACCGGCTAAGGCCCAAAGATTCCGTCAGATCATCATCACTGCAACGCCGCGCTTTATCTCCTCTTCTGGAACTCTCCCTTCGTTCCTCTCACTGTCTAACTCACTCATTGAGTCTCTCCATGGGCTCATCTTCTACATTCTCTCTGTGCTCTCATCCAACGGTACTTTCCTCTACTCTATTAGCTCACTCGAACTTACAATTATGACTAAATTCTCACTTTTTTTCGTAATTTTTAGGTGAATTGTGAATTTAATGGTAGAAAAGTCGGATACGGATTGCAGAAATCGTTGAGCAGTTCATCCAGTTATTGTTTGATTCATATTTCGCCGATTTGTATAAGTAGAAGAAGAAAATGCTTGCAATTGAGACGTGTAATTGTTAGAGCTGCTTCGTCGTCTAGTACTGGTCCGAGACGTTCGACGAATACTCGGAGAGTTTACAAGGAATCACAAGCTCAAACGCCAGCATTGCCTGTTGACAGAATTGTTTCGTTTGTTGTGCCCGCTGGTGCCTTTGTGGTTATCTCTTTTGGTATTGACATTTTGCCTATTTTCATCTCTTTTTCTACTGATAGGCTGATAGCTTTAATTTCTTATGCTGAATTGAGCTTTTGAGGAGGATTTTGC